GTGTCAAAAGAAAGATGGGATACACAATAAACTCTTTAGTTCTGGGGACTGCCTGAGCGCTAACAATAAAAACAACTGGAAGAGATAACACATTTACTCTTCCATTACTCTCTATCACAGTATTGTTCATTTATTTTAAAATAGAAGCTTCCACTTCAACGTAACTTTTTTCTTTCACTGCAAATGCTTAGCCATGTGTAAAGCTCCATGGGTGAGCCAGGCACTTCCTCAGGGATGGAAAAACCAAGTTGCAAAGAGAGATTTGCCATGGCAAAGTTGTACATAGACCTAAGCCTCCAAACTCTGAGTCTCATATTCTATCCACACAACTATGCAGCCTCAAAATTTCTAATCTAACCATTGGGTATCGGGGCCAATAGGAGAAACTGTCCTGGGGCTCGGTGATTTAAAAGGGCCTGGAGCGCCCAGCTGTTGCTACCTCGGCGGCAGCAGCAGCAGCAGACATCCTGGGCTCTTTAGATCACTGCCAGAGCACCTGACATGCCCTGGAACTTTGGTGGCACTGAATTGCAGCCCTCACCTCTTCTGCTCAAGGCCCCAGCCTTTCTGGGGGCTCACAGCCAGCTTCCCCGTGGCCCAGTGAAGACTCTTGTCAGCCCTGACAGATATGGCCAACCTGATGAAGAAGGAATAGAATGGTCCCTCACTTCCCCTTTTCATTAATTTAAGTCCCGTGGAGTCTTTTGTTGTTCCATTTCAGCAGCTTCTGTCCCATACTGGTAACTGTGGTGCTGTGTTTGCAGATGCTGAAGATCTGACTGATCGCCCATTTTTGGAGTCAAGAAGGAATTTTTTCATTGGGGAAAGGGCAAATTGGTGGAGGCCTGGTAAATTTGTTCACCTTTCTTGCAGCATCCTGGAAGTAAAGTTAAGTTAACCGGGAATAGGATTTAGTAATTAGTGGTATTACTTGGTAAGCAAATTAGGAAGGCCAAGGTTTCCCCTTTTGTACCCAAGGATGTTAAATTTAGTTTAATCAACTAATCGAATAGTGGATGAAATTTGCATCGACTATTCGATTTGTCGATAAGGGCACCTCTGCCTCTGAAATGTAGCAAGAGCCCTACTGGCTCTTGCTACATTTCAAAGGCAGACGCACCGCAGGGAGCACGGGGTGAGCAGGGGACTCAAGTAGTCCCTGGCCAGCCCCATGCTCCCTACTTTTGAAATGTAGGAGAGCCATACATTTCAAAAGTACGGAGCATGGGGTGAGTGGGGACCGCTTGAGTCCCCCACTTGTCTCCCCTCCCCCCCGCTCCCGTGGAACTTCTGCTTTTGAAATGTAGCACACTCTTGCTACATTTCATAGCTGGAAGCACTGCTAGTTCCCTGCTACCCCATTTCCCCCCATGGAGAGGGTACTGGGGGGAACTGGCTTTTAAGCCCACCAGCCCCCAGCACCAGCTCCTGCTCCCCCCCTTGCTGCCTCTCTCTGACACAGGCAGCAAGGGGGGGAAGCAAGTAGTAGAGTCACTAGTCAACTATCCAATAAGCATATGCTTATCGGATAGTTGATGAGTCTCTTACATCCTAATTTTTACCTTCTGTCCCATTTGTAGCAGGGGAGGTAGCTCTCAAAAAAGTGAACTACAGAGCTGGCTAAGGAGAACTCTGGAAAAAGAAAGGGATTTGTAATCTTCAATCGCAGTGCAACATCAGTTCTTTGAGACTAAATGATGAAGACCAGAGAGAGGATACTATATTTTAGAGCTATGGGTGTGTACTGATCTGGCCTTGCATGCCCCTGGTTCTTTCTCCATCACTGTCTCCCAAGGAAGAAATAACACACTCAGCCTTAGCCCTGCTCCACTGGCTGCTGTGTTAAGTACATCTCTTTTCCTGTTCCCCTGTAATCTCAAAAGCGGCATGAAGCCACTATCTAAGGAGCTGTGGCCAGGAGCCAGGAGGAAAGGGGAAGGCAAATTATTCTATGTCCTATTATTCTATGATTCTATGATTCTATGAAATATCACTCCATGCTTAGGAAAGCTGTTGCAGTGTGGCTGGCAATCAAACCTATTCTATGCGATATGATGGTGTATTTGGAACCAAGATCGGAGATGCTGGTTTAACGGTTATTGTGTGAAAAGATATGTTACAGTCTGAATGCTCCATGCAACCTGTAGATTGGCCAAGAGGTGAGAAGAAACCCTAAGTAACACAGCTCCACAGGGGGCAGCCTACTGGTAGTAAGGACCAGTTTTGAAAAGGATGGTGCTTTGTGATGACTAATTTATCTATACAGGGGGAGGGATAAAACAAAGTCAATGAAACAGTTACAAAATAGACAGATTCCTGAATTTTAATGTGTTCGTTGTTCTTATTCCCTTCTCAGTAACAAGAGGAGCGAGAAAACAGACAACGCATGGGCTAAATTCATTCTTGGCATAACTCCAGTGAAAATAACGTAGTTAGATCAGGGATGAATTTGCCTCATAAGTTTAATTACATCAGCAAATCATTATAAAATAGGGCAGTGTGTACGCTCGGCAGGGGTTTCTTGTGCAAAAAAGGCCTATGGCTAAAATGGCCATCGGAGCTTTCTTGCACAAGAGAGCGTCCACACTGCTATGAGGGCTCTTGCACAAAAGCACAGCTCACACATGGTAGTGTGGACGTTTCTTGCACCAGTGTAGACATAGCCCAGGAGACATTCACAGCTGAGACTCCTGAGTGGAGGGATGCACCTTCACTTAACCAGTCAGTCCAGCACCTACATAGCTTCGAAGATCGTTCTAGATCACCTCTCTGCATGTCACAGCTGGTTAACTTATGAGGCTCCCAGATGAGTTTGCTGGCTTCTGAGACTTATTAGGCACCTACATCTCCCAGGCAATGCACTGGAGCCTGGAGACCTAATTTGAAGCTGAGTGTTATAATGCTTAAATACCTTTACAAATCTATACCCCAGAAACTATGGTGATGGGCAGTAGCATACCACCCTAAAATACACAGAAGGACCCAAGCTGTAAAACGAGGATCCAGAATATAATCATTCTCTTCTGCGATAAAATTTTAGGTGCTCAGAAGTAGGCCAGAATCAGAGCTCCATCTCTAACACTGAGAGAACATGGGTCCAATAGTGGTAGATTTGTATGGAAGGGTTGTTAAAAAGGACAAGGAAGCAAAGGAATTACAGAGAAGCCACAAGAATGAGGACCTGCCACTCATTGGGAGAGAAGATGGATATTTGTCCAAAGCGACCATAATTTTCTAAAAGATCAGCTCTTCAAAAACACGCAGGCATGTCTCCTCTGGCCAGGTTCTACAGAACACTGCCATGGACCGTAGAAGCAAGTGAGGCTCCATATCCAATGGGCATCATATTGCTCTAGTTTCCTCTCCTTTGATCCTGACAACTAATTTCAGCTCAAAATCTTAGATCCCAAACTAGTGGGAGCTATCCAATAGAGGGTTACCTCCAAGCTTCGGGGAAATAGAAGGGCTCTGTCCCATATCCCAGGGTGTGTTATGTCAGTGAGGAAACTAGTAAGTGTTTGGAAAGCCCTTTTTAAGCATTGTTTTAATCATATATTTTACTAAATTATGAGGACTGGTCGTACAGGATGGAAATGCAGGAGGAAGGAAAATTGAAGTCTGATGGAACAACTAACCTCTTTTAAGAGTTAGGAGAAATCTTGGACCCCAGCCCTTTCTAAGCTTTTCAGCAAGATCTCGCACTCTCTCATCCTACTCCCTTAGATTTTCCTTCTTCTAAACTGTCTCCAGCTACAGGCTTATCAGGTTAATTTTATGAAATATCCGTCAGCTCCTATGCCTATAACCAGGTGTCAGACTGTTTCCACTTTTCAGAAGAAAATCCTACTAGAACCAATATACAAGCAACATATTGCTGGGAGTTTCCCCCAAAATCAGAAGGATCTACTAAGCAACATTGCAAAGAAATTAATATCTGCTGAAAACTAACTGCCACAACTTACACACCAGGAACAAGTTGAGGATAACTTAATATGAAGTACTATTCGGATATCAGATTTTGTTAACAGAAATAATTGTGAAGGTTAAAGACATACTGAGCCAAATCCCCCATACACACACACCCCAAATGTGGAGGACTTCCTCTGGGGTTCCTATCATTATTGATTCTGACTGAAATCAATCAATTGGAGATGAGGGTGCTCAGTAAATATCAGAATCAGGCCTACTGTCAATTAGCTTACACCCAGTAAGGAGGCTGTGTTTTAAGCAAATGTCAATAAAAACAATTTTTGGGGAAATGACAACCTGAATCATCTTGACTCATCTTGCTAGGTGCACGGACATCAGGATGTTGAAACTGGCTAAGAACAATCTAGTTTAATTTTACAGTCCAACCTGAGTAATATACATGCAAGAAATAAACAGCTCACATCCATGATTTCAAAAATCTTTTCACTTTGAATAATTTCCAGTTATGCAGACAGATAAGCAATCTCTCCCCAACCCTTGTTAGTATTTGAATTTTATATTGTATACTGGTTTAAACAAACATCTTATATGAGGAAGGCATAAAACAATCTGAGGGTTGTTTTTTTTAATTAAATCTCACAGTCCACAGAGTCATTCACTAAAACAGACTGTCACACTGCATTCAGAGGACATCAAGCGGTGCTCCATATTACACTGAAGGCGGTGTTGTAAAAGAAGGTGGAGTAAATGCACAGACCAGGTAGAAAACATTATCAGAGTTTGCAGTGACATTGGATTTTCTCTCTAAGCATCGCACAATTAACATTTTGACTTTTTACAAAAGAAAAATCATCGCCGCATTTTTACCGAGAAGCCTTTAAAAGTACCCCAGGGGCCCTCTGTTTTGCAGAGCTGAAAACTCACTGGTTTGAACTAAGAGCAGAACAACAGCAAAAAGCCTGCAGCACATGTTTGCCCCCCCAAAAAAATCCTGAGTTGTTTGCATTAGTGATCTATAACTTTGCTGCACAGCTAATTATTGTTTGAATTGGAGAACAGTGGTCACTTACGTGTCCAAATTGAAATATGATATTAGCTAGCAGTGGGGACGCAGACAGCAGTTTAAAGAAACCACAGTTTTCCTGACAGGGCAATTTCCTGACTGCTAGCAGTTGCCGGAAAGCCTCATGTTCTTCTCTTGGCTGGAGCACAGTTGTAATGCATTTTCTGATTGGTGCATTGAACGTCAGCCACAACTGGTTGAAATTTTCTCCCTTCTGTCTTTGAATCAGCTGAGCACTCAGCAAGATCCGTGCTGTGTGTTTTTCCTTCCGGAGCTGGTTATAGTACTTCGTTTTGAACTCTTTTACAAGGATCTGCTGCTGGTTGTTAGATATAGCTGTCAAGCTACACTCCTGGGTGAAGCACAGGTGTGTGTTATGCCTTGTCAAGGATTCAAATGATATAAGTATTTTTGTGTCACTAGGACAGACATATTTCTCTTTTATTTAAAAATTGAAAGAGGAGAAGTAGGCTTTAAAATACTGATAAAATTATAACGCAGCCCAAATTCTACCATCAGCTACAATACTGTAACCTCATAAGACCACTACAGAAATGGGCTCTAGCTGGGTGTGTGGGCTTTGGGCGAGGTCAGGGATGAGAGGTTTGGGGGTGTAGCAGGGTCTTAGGGCTGGGGAACTGGGGAATGGGGTTGGAGCTTGGGCTTTCCTAGGCAGCTCTAAATGGATTATTTCATTTTGGATCAGTATGACTAAAATTTAAATATTTAATTTGAACTGGCCAAAAACATTGTGGCTGTGTCTAGATTGGAATGATTTTCCGGAAATGCTTTTAACGGAAAAGTTTTCCGTTAAAAGCATTTTCAGAAAAGAGCGTCTAGATTGGCACGGATGCTTTTCCGCAAAAAAGCTGTCTACACTGGCCCTTTTGCACAAAAGCTTTGCACAAAAGGGACTTTTGCCCGAACGGGAGCAGAATAGTATTTCCACAAGAAGCACTGATTTCTTACAGTAGGAAGTCAGTGCTTTTGCAGAAATTCAAGCGGCCAGTGTAGGCAGCTGGCAAGTTTTTCCAGAAAAGCGGCTGATTTTCCGGAAAAACTGGCCA